TGCCTGTATGTGTGCTTGTGGAGGCCTCGGCTGGGAAGGGCTTCATCAGGCCATGGGGTGGGGGTTGTGGAGAGAGACCCTAAGGGGATGGGCCTGCCATTCTGCGGTCACAACTTGCCTAGGCCGAGCGGGCACCAGCTGTCCCCAGAGAAAGAACCGCCCAGCCGGAGCTGACTCAGGTGTGCCCGGGGCTGCTGGGAAGTCAGAGGCCTGGGTGCATAACGAGGAAGCGCGACCTGTCAACTTGCTTCCGTGAGAGGCTCTCATTTGTGTTGTCAGTAACAGAGGTGGGTGGCCGGGCCACCAGGTGGCGTATGGTCTCACAGAGGGAAGGGTAAGGGACAACCAACTGCTGGCACTGGAGTCAGCCTGATGGTTGGTCCTTCTGGCCGACAAGCCGAGACAGAGGCTTAGACACACACAACCCTGATCCACTACTAGGGCTGGACGTGACCCCAGGCGGGTTTCCTGTATCGTGACGGCTCACAGTTAGAACCTGCCTTGTGTAGGACAGCTACCTTTGCAGGTGATGAGCGCCCTGCCTCTGGGAGAGTTCAAGCTCAGGCTGGAAGGCTGTTTGGTGGGTTTCATTTGCTCATTCACTCATTCATCCAGTTAATCATCCATCCAGTATTTTCCACGCATCAAACTTATGCCAAGTGCTGGACTGTTTGCGTCAAGTGTGACTAAGATAGAAATGGCCCTTGGCCTTACAGTGGGCTGCGATCTAGACCTGGAAACCAGGGAAGGCTTCCTGGAGGAAACTACCTTTTATTTCTTTTTCTTTTTTTAATTAATTAATTTATTTTTGAGAGAGAGAGAGCATGGAAAGGGCAGAGAGAGAGAGAGAGAGAGAGAGAGAGGGAGGGAGAATTCCAAGCAGGTTCTGCACCATCAGCGTAGAGCCCAATGTGGGGCTCAAACTCATTAAAGGTGAGATCCTGACCTGAGCTAAGTCATACGCTTAACCAACTGAGCCCCGCAGATGTACCAGGAACTACCTTTGAAACTCAGCCCTGATGGCTGAGAAGGACTTAGGGTAGGGACAAGTTCCAGAAGCAGAGGCAGCGTGTGGGAAGGACTAGAGAGGCATGGCCAGTAGAGGAGGCATAAACTCAGTGATGCGGGGTGAGGGGCAGAGTTGAGAGCGAGGTCAACATGTGGGACTTGTTAGCGAGTCTGAGCTTTATCCTGGGACCCACAAGGAACAAGTGAAGACTTTTAAAGATATTTTCTTTTTAGATTTTTTTTAAAGGTTATTTATTTATTTTTGAGAGAGAGAGAGAGCCAGAGGAAGCAGGGGAGAGACAAGGAGACAGAATCCCAAGCAGGCTCCACACTGTCAGCACAAAGCCCGGTATGGGGCTCGGACTCACAGACCTGTGAGATCATGACCTGAGCCGAAATCAAGAGCCAGATGCTCAACCGACTGAGTCCCCCAGGTGCCCCATGAGGAGTTTTAAGCAAAGCGATGATGTAATCCGTTGTGTGTCTTAGCTGGTTTCTCCAGAGGCAAACCTCGAGACACAGGCAGGTTTTATGTTTTCCAGGCAGGTAGTTTATGCGGGGGGGTGATTCCAGAAAATACCAGTAGGAGAAGGAGGAATTGAGACCGGGAAGGAAGCCTGCCAAGAAAGCGTGTGTGGCCAGTCAAGTCGCCTCTGTGGGCATGGCGGCTTGACCCTGCAGGGGAACTTGGGAGTCGGTGTAGAATATGGCCCCCTCGAGGAAGCTGGACTATTTATGCATCACCCGCCTCCCATCAGCCATTGGGTGAAGGCTGTTCTGGGACGAGCGGTGCTTGGACCCTGTGTGCGTCTCCAGGGGCGGGTTGGGTGGGCCCAGCACCGTCCCTCAGGCAGAGGCGTCGGGGTGGCTCAGAGCGGGCCACGGGAACGTGGGCAGGGTGCCGGAAGACACGTCCAGGGGGTGTTGCAGTCCTGGGGTGGCTGTGGCTGTGAGCACACGGGGACAGGGGTCAGCACGCGGAAATGCCTGGGCTTGGCGGCCGACGTGGTGGAATCAACGCGGGGAGAGGACGCGCAGCCTCTCAAAGCTGCAAGAGGCCCTGCGCGTCGTCAAGGGCCCTCCCTCCCCGCCCCCACGTGCCCGTTCTCCCGCAGGTTCTCCTCTGCTCCCACACGTCAGACCCCGACTCAGCCTCTGGGGCAGCAGGGGCCACACCCCAGGGAGCACTCAGGCGTCTGCAGGGAGATGAAGGTGCTGGAGAGGAACTGTTTAAAAGAAAAACCAAAGCAAGAACTGGACTGTGCTCAGCGCCAGCCTCAGGTCTTAGGAGAGATCACCGGCTCCCAGGAGGGGGGATGAGAGAAAAGCAGTGCAGCAGAGCCCCCAGCTGAATGCCACCCTGCTCCCCCTCCCGCCTGCCATGTCCACACCTGTGTCCCTGTCAGGCCGGAAGAGGCCGGCCGCTGTGCGTGGCTGGGTGACAGGACCTCGTTTACAGATGGTGCTGCGTAACCGTGTCCGTAACCATCTGCCAAGTGACGGGGCCTGTGGGTGGTCCCAGCCCTCCCGTGCTCCATGCCCTTGGGAAGCGAGAGGGACATGCTGGGGACAATTGAGCAGTGCGTCTAAGGCCAGGCCAGCAGAATGGGGCGGGCGGAGGCTGGGAAAGGGGATGGGAGGGTGGAAGAAGCCAGGGAGAAGATGGGATATTGTGTCCTCCACCAGAGTTTTTATTTGCCAAAAAGAGAAGCCAGGTCTGGGTGAAATGCATAGGAAAGGAATTTAGCTCTAACCAGTGACCGATGGGAGGTGGTATATTGACACCCTCCACCCCAAGCCGGGAGAACTCTGAGGTACGTGTTCTTCCTTGGCTCTGGTGGCCCACAGTGGCGACATGCTGCATGAGGGCCGCCCTCCCATCCCTGGCCCACTCCCCCCTCCTCCAGCTGGGCTTCCTGAGATTGCCTCTCACATAAATCACCTAGTTGCAAATCGTAGGCTCACTTCTGCTTCTGCAGGGACCCCACACGCGTGGCAGGTGCATCCTACAGGCCCTGTCACGTGTCCTTTCCTGGTTTCAAAGGACGATGAGGAAGCAAGAATCAAGCATTTTCAGCTTCCAAGGGTGGGAGTGGCTCGCTTCTCTTCTCTGCGATAAAATCCCACAGAGCGGCTGGCTTACAAACAGGAGGGATCTATTTCTCACAGTTCCGGAGTCTGGAAGTCGCAGCTTAAGGTGTTGGTACATTCGGTTGGGCCTGTTTTCTGTTTGTAGAGAACTCATTCTCATGGGTCCTCAGATGGTAGACGGGCCCGGGACCTCTCTGGGGCCTCTTTTATAGGGGCGCTCACTCCACCCATGCTCTCTCCCAAAGGCCCCCCCCATCACCTCGGGGATTATGATTATGATTTTATTTTTAATGATGATTTCGGGGATATGAGCGTTGAGGGGACACAAACATTTAGACCACAGCAGAAGCCAATGGCATATTCGAATTATAATAATCTCTGGAAGGTCTATTTATAAAGGGCCCGTTTACAAAGGCATGGGGAGCTGTGGAGAAGCCCAAGGATAGTGCAACAACTCAAGATTACCAGTGGAGCCGCTACCATCCCAGGTCTGAAGGATGAAAGAGGAACCCAGAAAGAGAGGGACAGGTGGCGGCCTCCTGGGAGGAGCAGAGACCCCCGCTAGCCCACGGCCACCTCGCTGGAGACTGGATGGGAGCCAGCGCACTCTCCATCCCCCCGTCTCCTACCACTGACAGACGGAGCAGGCAGATCAGCCTCCTGGGCCAGAGCAGGGTGGGGACAGAGCCTCAGGAGGGCAATGGAACTGGCACAGCAGGAAGTTTCCAGAATGAACAAGCGGCCTCAGATGTGACAGTCTCCCAGTCTGTGTGGGGTAGAAGCCAAAATGTCATACCCGGGCTTGAATTAGGGCTGAGGGCGTCACAGCCGCCTTTCAACAACATCGGGCCATTTCTCGTCCTTGGTCGCACCTTTTCACCAAGGACCTTCTTTCTTGAGCCCTGTTGGTCTCTCCAGAGCCGTGCATGTCCGGGACTCAGAGCCCCGGCTCTGCCAGCAGCTTCTGTAACCACCGTTCCGTCCCTTCCTCTGGGCCTCAGCTCCCTGTATGCAAACCCAAGAGGGTTCACAAGATAACCTTTCAGTACCCTTGACGTGGCACTGACCTTCTAGAAAGGCTTGTGGCCCCTCCCAAACCAGCCTGAGAAGGGAGTCAGGGGAAGAGTGTCGTTTTGGGGAAACCCAGGCCCGGGGAACAAAGGGATTGCTGGAGGTCACTGATCATGTGGGCACATAAACAAGTCTCCCCTCTTTGGTCGAAGCTGACCTCGGGCTGGGCCTGCCCTGGCCCCGTGCTCCCCACACCCATGTTTATTTTCAATTAGTGCAGCCGCCAGCATGATGTTTTAAGATTTTTCTTGTGCGCTCATGTGCGTGGCTGTGAACGGAAAGATGTAAAAACGTTGGCTTCAATCAGGCTTTCAGAGCCAGCCGTGCCTCCTGCCCTCCTCGGGGATTCGGGGTGAGTGTGACATCACTGCCAAGCTTTGGAGAGGACAGGTCCACACAGACCGCAAAGGCCTTCATTTGTAGAGAGTTTCAAAGAGAGTCAGGGAGCCACGCCAGCTACTCTGGGCCCCTCTGACGGCCACCCTACTGCCAGTTCTAGGAGGTGGGAATCCTGCCCCCCACCCCGGAGAGCCTGGGCCCCAAGACCTGTGTCCCAGGCACGTGAAACAAGGACCACTTCATTCGACAGTGCCACCCAGGGCTCCAGGCCAGGAAGCTCAGCTGCCAGCTCATTGAACGACCGCCTTCTCTCTCCCAGCAAGGGGGGGGGGGGGGGGGGGGGGGGGGGGGGGGGGGGGGAGGGGAGAGAGCCCTCCGGCCTATCAAATGGATTCTGTCGAAATTACAGTTTTCAAACCAACAGCTCTGGGATAGTCATGGCCTGCACACACGTTCTCTTTGGCTTGGACCATGTTTGGCCACGTAGGTTTATTTTTACAAAGAGAAATGCATTGCTCACAATCAAAGAAGTCAAGGTGGGGTTTCTGGTCGCTTTCAGAAACCGGAGAGCCCTGTCAGCCCCGGACTCACGTTCCTGCCTGGGGACGCTTGGCGAAGGAAGGCAGAGCCGCGGGCCCCCTCTAGGTAAAGCATGTGCTCTTCAGCTCTGCCTGGTCCTCACCGGTTCCTGAGGCCACCCGGCCGGGACCTGAGTGTCTGTTGCCTCTGATCACTGAGCCCGTGCCACTGTTTCTTGAATTAAAAGTTATGAGGGAAGCAAAACATTTTGGGTTCCCCCCGTTTCCAGCCCTTTTGGAAACCCACCCCAGGCCACCCCCGGCCACCTGTCTTGCGGGGTTGCTGATGTGGACGTTGGTCTCTAGGGCCACGTCTGGTGCCCGTTCTCTCCTCTCTGCCGCAGCCATCACCATCATGGTCAATGTCACATCACCTTCATTAGTCCTCCGACTGGCTTTGCACACATGAGGCAGGTCCGGACAACCTTTGATCTGTCTGAGGGGCAAAGCTTGATGCATAAAGATGACAGAGCGAGGAAGCAGCTGGGGCGGGCAGGGCCAGACCCGACAGGGTGAAGAATTCGGCGTGCCAGCAGGGGCTGTGAGGGAAAGGCGTTCCACGCAACCTGGGAGGAAGGGTCTCCTCACCGGCTCCCGACCCAGGCTGTGGCCTGGCCCCAGCTCATTTCCAGGGCTTGAGAAGATCAGGCAGCGAAGGCAGTTTGGACAGGAGACTCAGGGCCGGCCTGTGAATTCAACCACTTCGTAGGGGCAGGGGGGCAGAAGTAAGCCTCAGTCTTCCAGCTAGTGGGTATATGAGCATCGGTCCTGGCTCCGTCCATAGAGGCCTTTCCAGCCAGGCGCGCGTGCCCTCTCCAGGCTGGCTGTTCTCACCACACTGGCCCGCTCCGGTTTCCGGGAAGCTCCCCCAGCAGGCCGTGCGGAGCGTACTCCATACAGGTTACCCCCGTCAGGTGAGGCAAGCACTTGGCATGGTAGGAGAATCTCAGGTGGCCGTGGGACAGGCCGCACTTGACCTCGTGCAGACCAGACTGGGGGTTCTGGTCACAGGTGCCCAGGAGGTCGTCGTCCCAGCCGTGGTCTTGGTCCCAGACCTGCACCCTCAGGGGGCCCCCCGTGGACAGCGTCACGTCCCCGAAGTCCAGCCGCGTCGTCCACCTGGGGTTGTTATCGTTCCACACGGTGCCCACCCTCATCTCCTGGCCTCCGAAGAAGACCTTCAGGTAGGCATCTGTGCCGGAGAAGTTGTCTCCCCACAGGTCCGACGCCTTGAAGTTCATGACCTCCAAGCGGGCCAGGCCCCTCTGCCGGGGGCAGCAGTCCTGGTTGGTGACCGCCGAGCTGTGGCAGACACACTGGCACGGGTCATGCGGGCTCTTCTGCTGCCCCGGCGGGCAGGGCCTGTTGCAGTCTTTCCAGCGGGCCCTGTCCATCACGTACTTGCTCACCGCCCGCCTCAGGGCCTCCCGCCGCGGGTCCTGGCTCTCCAGGAGCACGTGCAGAGGCTCCAGGGTGTAGGCCACCAGGCCGGGGCTGTCCAGCAGGGAGGCCACCCAGGCCGAGAACTGCTCGGGCCCGGCCTGGTTCCCAAACAGCAGGTCGCTCACGGAGGTGTGGTGGCCGCCGACTATTTCGGAAAAGCGTTCCCGGTAGGTCTGGTGGAAGGAGGTGGTTATCTTGTGGTTCTTCTTCTTCTGCTCACAGTTCTTGTATTCTGCCGACGACTTGGCACGGTCGCTTATGCTGACCTGGGCCTCCACTGTCAGGCAGTCCTCCACCTCTTTGTCTCTGAGCCCGTCCAGGGCCAGCTCACAGGTGCGCAGGGCAGTGAGGGCCGAGAGCCGGCCGCCCAGCTCCATGGAGCGGATGAAGTGGGTGCCGTAGTTGGAGATGAGCCTGAGGTAGTCCGCCTCGGTGGAGGTGTTGAAGTCGGGGGGCAGGTCTCTGACGGCCCTCTGGAAATTGGGGTGCAGTGGGGGAGAGTGTACCAGATGAAAACTAAAGGGGGAGAGAAACATCGGATGGGCAGGCGGTGGTTAGTTTTTAGTTTCCCTGCCTCGGCCATCCCTCAAGATTGCCCAAGGTCACATGGAAGTGCTAGAAAAAGTGATAGAAAGAACCAGAACCCAGTGAGTCGGCCAGGAGACCCATTCTTTTGCCCCTTGGTAACCTAGGTATGCTGAATGGGTATTTCTGCTCTTCCTTTTCAGATTAAGGTTTGTTTTTTTTTCTTTCCTTTTTATTTTCTAGTTATAAAAGTGACGATAAGGCCCTGATGGTGAGCCTCCAGCTTTGGAAACTAATCCTGTGCCTTTGTCCCTCTGTCCCCTGGATTGGGTTCCTGACAGCTCTGGCCACACAGGCAGGAGGCACTCGGTGGTGCCTTGAAATCAGAGTGGTTGACTCGGGTCCTCCACGGAGACCATGCATTTCTGGGGCGCGGGACCTGCGTCCCTGAGGGTTGGAGATGTGACTGGCATTGTTTGGCTCTGGGACCCTAATTCCGAGCACAGAGCCTGACACATGACAGACAGGAGTTGTGACTGGATGTGCGAAGGGGGCCCAGTGATGGGAAGTCTCCCACCAAGTCTCCTGCCCACAGGACAGAGGGGACTCCGTAGATCTGAGCGGCACCGTGTTGACCGTCTTGGCAAAGCCTTGCTCACATCTCCTCCACCTCTCTCCCAAGGCTCTTCCTGTTCAGGGTTGCTGCGAAGGAGGCCCGAGGGCACTGTATACCCAGTGTGCCAGTTCCTCCTAATGGAGGCCACCTCCAAGTCCCCACCCTGCCACTCCGGGCCTCCTAGACCCCTCCGAGTTTCCCACACCTTTTTCCAAGCCCCTCCACACCACCTGCGGCTCTCTCACCTGTAGAAGTGACATTCCACCAAGTCTGTGCTGAAGCTGTACTGGTCCTGGTGGGTCTTCTGGGCAGCGAAGTTGGCTGCGTGGGAGTGTGAGCCGGCCACGCTCACCTGCACATTGACGCTGGGTTTGGGAGATACGTCCAGCCCCACCCGCCAGTCATTGCGGATGCTGCTGGCTGCTTCTTTGGCCACAGTCTCGGCGGAACTGGCCTTGGCCCTGAGCACTCGGCGCTGGCAGCCTGAGCCCTGGGCACGCCAGTCGGTCACGGCCAGAGGCAGGCGCTGAAGGGCGCCCTGCTTCAGGACGTTGTGGCAGAGGGTACAGGTGCCATCGGGCCGCAGGTAGTTCTCCGTGTCCACCGGGAAGGAGCCCGAGCGCCTGAGACTGGTCACGTCCACGCCCTCCCCAGCCAGCGCCGAGCCAGGCACAAACCGCCGGCTGCGCCGGCACTCAGAGCGGGTGGCCGTGTGGCAGGGGGCTGGGGCGGGCGTGGGCAGCAGCAGGAGGAAGAAGCCCGGGAGGAGTACCCAGGCACCCATGGAGCTGCGGAGACCGGGGCGTCTGGGCTTCTGGAAGCTGCGGGCAGAGGTATGGGGGATGCGCTATCAGGGTGTATGGGACAGAGAGGGAACGAGGTGTCTCCTTAGTGACTGTCTGAGCTGCAGCGACCTTCACAAACCTGGCGCATCCCCCACGTGTACAGATGGGCCCAGGATGGGAAGTAACTTGCCCGAGGTCACACAGCCAGGAGGAGCCCCTTGCTAGGGTTTCATTACTTAAGGCCCAACGGAGGATCCACACTGATGGCTTTGTCCCCAGGACCACAGATATTGCTGGTGGGGACGGGGCTCTGCACACAGAGGAGGGGACAGAGAGCAGATATAGCAGACTTGGGGAGGGACCTGGGACTCTAAGGAAGCCTGGATTCTAGAGAAGGGTCGTTTAGGCCTCAGAACAAGCCAGGCTTTTCCCACCCCGCCTCTCCCATTCTCTGTTGGTCTCTCTCCCACAAGCCCATAACAGAATTGGACAAGAAAAAAGGCATTGCCCTTATTCTCCCCACCTTCCCTTTGGGATCTGCTCCTGAGCCTCACGGGAGAACAGCGGCCCAAATCTGGGTGTGCCTACGGCCTGGCATCCCATGTGGGGAGGGCCGTTAAGTCCCCTCTCCGGGTCTCCTCTTGTCCACGCCACCTCCGGCCTCCCTTGCCTTGCTCTGCGGATCTCAGGCCGCGTATGTGTGTTGCCTCCTATCAGGCAGCCATCAGCTAGAAGCATCTTCCCTATTTTGAGGTGGCTCTGGAGCCTCCCATGGACCTGTTTGTAATCTGGTCTCCATGCTCCACCCCTGTCCAAACCGGATGCCTCAGAGGCCTGTCCCTTCCAGCACCTGCCAGGGACCCCAGACACGGGGGGTTCACCCAAAGGGGTCACTGGGGTGGGGGCTTCCAGGCGATAGGCAGGCCCCAGAGAAGTAACTAGGAGGCGGGAAATCTTTCAAAGGCCCTCGGGCCATCCCACTTAGGAGACCCGCATGGTTCATAAGCTTAATCCTCGGAGCTCCATCTCCAGGCTGGTGCTCAACCTGTTACCTCCCAGGGAGCCTGCTTCCAGCTTTCTGAGAGGCTTTCCCCGTCAGCATTTGACGGGGCCTTACAGACGATGCCTTGTAACCTCTCCGCCTTCTGCATGAGGAAACTGAGGCCCAGAGTGGGCGTGAGGACGCTCAGCGAGTCAGTGACAGAGCACAGTCTCACGGTCCCGGCACTTCCTGCTCCATCGGGCTCTTCCCCAGACAGAGCAGCCTCACTCCCGTGCCCCTCCGTCCCCACCCAGGGGCTCTCCCCTGCCACCCGCCTGCCTCCCTACCTGGAGTCCTATGTTGAGACGGACGCTCCTGCACAGATGCTCTCTCCCCCAAGAGAGGCTCCTGAAATGGTGGCGTCAGCCCCCAGGAAGGCTCACCACACGGCTCATCACCCAAGCCGCTGTTCACATCACTTCTGCTTCCTGCCCCGCCCCTCCAGCTGTGGTCACGGGTCCCCCCTCCGCTCTCCCCTCCCGCCAGCACCCACCTTGTCTTCACCTCCTCATCCGGCCTTCCTGACAGCCCTCAGGAAGTGAAGCTGTGATGGCCGGAGTCTCATCCAACAAGGAGAGCTGCCTGGGGCGTGGGGACCCGGGCAAACAGGTGAGGCTTAGTGTGGAGCTAACACAGGGACTTTGAGATTCAGCTCTGGGGTTGCTGGGCAACTGGGAGAGTCCCCTGCTTTTGATCTATGGCCATCTGATGCATGAGAGGCGGGACAGCTTGGGAGCTCGCCATGGGGGCTTAGGAGCCCATGGCCTGGGCGGGACCAGCCCAGTTATGCTCTAGCTGTGTGGCCTGGAAGCTCCTTTAGCCTCTCCATGCCTCAGTTTCCTCAGCTAAAAGGAGCGATCATTGTAATGTAGACCCTCCAGGTTGTGAAGAACAGGGGAGTTACTATGCGGGAAGTTCTTAGAAGAGTGTCTGGCCCTGAGCAAGGGTGAGCTCATGTGACCATTCCCTCCTCCTCAAGCAGGGGGGACAAATAACCCCCCTGGCCCACTTCCTACCCGCACCTACATTCCAGCCCCACCCAGGCTCTGAACCCCAGACGGTTTCCTGTTCCCCCCTTTTGTGAGGGGGAACCAGTGGCCACATGAGTCCCCAGCCCCTCCCCAACCATGGCCTGAGGGTGCAGCCACAGGGTGGGGGGGGGTGGACCGATGGGGAGATAGATGTGGGTGGGACCAGAGGCTTGGGGTCTTCTTCATCCTCTGTCTTACCTGAGGTCAGGGTGAGGTCAGGTTTCCATGGGTCGAGTGACTCACAGAACAACTTCTGGAGGCCCAAATCACACTGGTCTGAGGTGAAGACAGCTGGGTGAGTGGGGGACTGTTCTCAAGAGTTTATCTTCCAACCGTGTAGTGACAGGAACAAATAGCCACAGGCCCCAGACCACGTGTGACACCATGGGGTTCATCCCTTGAGGTCATGTACTCCCTAGAATGGCCTGCTCTTACGGGAACAGGGGCTTACGCTGCCTTCTCAGAACTCGGCCCCATCTCCTCCCCTCCGTGTCCCCCTCTGAAATCGTGGCCTCCCGACCCCCTTCTCTCTGCGCCTTGTTTTGGAACACGGGCAAAGACAGGAGTCGGGTCGTTGTTTGCACGACGGAACGAGGACCTACGTTACCATCTTTGGCACTTTTAAGTGGTTGTTATTCAGTAAGTGCTCTGTGCGGATGAGTATTTCTGGAGTGCTAGTCAGAGAAATGTATGCCATTTTTATCAACGTAAAAGGTAGCATGATTAAAATAGATCGATACTTCTCAAAATCAGAAGTTCAGAGTGAAATGAAATTTAAACAGGGAGAAAAGGGCCCTCCACGTTGAATAATACTGATACTACTGCACAAATAAAATTACATGGCTGCATTTAAGGAATGGCTGGGGCCACGCCGTGTTTCTTTCAGGAACATAAAGAATAGAAAAATATTTAGAATCTAGTCTGGTTCAAAACGTATCTGTGGCATGCCCCCACGTTATTGCTGCTGTCATCTTCACATAAAATAACATGTAAATAACAAAAACAACAAAAAGGTCAGGGTGCCGAGGCTGTGATTTTAGCTCTGTAGGAGGAGACAGGTGAGGCAGAGGGGACAAGCTTCTCGTCCCAGCTTCCCAGAAAACTTGCCACGTGACTCTTGCCAATAGAGTTTTAACCCCTTTCCAGGTTAGTTTGCTCATCTAGAAAAGCAACGGGAGGATTCTGGGATGTCTAAGAGTCCTTAGGTTCTGGATGGTACAATGTGCATTGAGCCCCTTTCCAGCGCATGTGAAGTCGCTACTGTCCAAGAGATCCGGGGGTGGGGGGGGGGGTGTCCATTAAAGGGCAAGGATGACGTGGAGGTCTGCCATGACCATTTTAGCCTCTGTAATGGATGACAGCTGTCCCTCCAGGTGACGCTCAGAATAAAAAGAGACTTAAGCACACGTTTTCGTCTGAGACCTAAGTCTTTTTTTGTTGTTTTTTTGTTTTTGTTTTTGTTTTGTTTTTTTTGCAATTCTTTTTTTTTTTTTTACAAATAGTTTATTGTCAAATTAGTTTCCACATAACACTCAGTGCTCATCCCCACAAGTGTCCTCCTCCATGCCCATCCCCCCCCCCCACATCCATCAGTCCTCAGTTTTTGTCAGCATTCAAGAGGTCTGAGACCTAAGTCTTAATAAGAGTACAGTTTGTTCAACTGCCAGACACCATCTCTGTGGTTTATATTAAAGAATGTAACTCATGGGGCGCCTGGGGGGCTCAGTCGGTTGAGCGTCCAACTCTTGATTTTGGCTCAGGTCATGATCCCAGAATCATGGGATTGAGCCCCCCATTGGGAAGCTGCTTAGGATTCTCTCTCTCTCTCTCTCTCTCTCTCTCTTTCTCTCTGCCCCTCTCCCCATTTGCACGCTTATTTGCATAAGTAAACTTTGAAAATAGTAAATGAAGGGTTCCAAACAGGGGAACATCCACAGAGACAGAAAGTAGACTTGTGCGTGAGGAAACGGGCAGTGACCACCTTTTCAGAGAGATGAAAATTGGTCGTGGTGGTGGCTGCACGACCTTGTGAATACACTAAAAACCACGGAATTGTACACTTCATTTATTTTTTTAAAGTTTCTTTATTTGGAGAGAGACAGAGACAGCACAAGTAGGGGAAGGGCAGAGAAAGAGAATCCCAGGCAGGCTTCACACTGCCAGCTCAGCCCGATGTGGGGCTTGAACTCACGAAACTGCAAGATCATGACGTGAGCCGAAACCAAGGTACTATGTACCAGAGACTGTGGTCTCTTCATCTATGAATTACCGAGAGAATCATGTTAACATACCCCATCGTGAAGACAAATTGTTCAGGATGTGTGGATTTCTCCCTGCAGCGAGCCCTCTGTCACCTTTGGCTTTATACGTTTTGAGGCTCTTTTATTAAACAAGTTTAGTATTGCTTTGTCTTCCTGGTGAATTAAACCCTTTAAACTTTTTAAATCGCAAATTATGCTTTTCCCTCGGATATCAACTTTGCCTGATATTCACAGAGCTGTCCAAACTTTTTTTTTAGTATAATTAGTTTTAATTTTTGTAAAATATGCATAACATGAAATTTACCATCTTAACCATTTTTAAGTGTACCAATCTTCTTTTGATTAGTATTCACATGGAAATCTTGTATCTTACTTTTAAATTCCCTTTGTGTTCGTGTGTTAGCTGGGTCCCTGTTAAACACAATGAGTTTGCTTTTGTGATGTCATCCAATTTGAGTAACTGGCAATGTAATTCTGCATTAAGTCCATTTACAATGACTGTTCTATGAATCTGCTTCTATCACCGTGCTTGCTCATTGTCGTGCTTTTCCATGCTCTCTCTCCTCTGTTCCTGCCTTCTCTGAGATTGATTGAACTTTAAAAGAGTTACATTCTTTTCTCTCTAGTGGTTTACTCTTAAAGCCTTTCTGATTCTCTCGTGGTTGCCTCTAAAAATGCTAACATGCATTCCTAGCAAGATCTAAAGTTTCCTATTTTTCTTTCCAGGGATTTCAGGATCTTAGAACACCATTGACTAGGCGTGCCTGGGTGGCTCAGTCAGTTAAATGTCTGACTTTGGCTCAGGTCACATCTCCTGGTTTGTGAGTTCCAGCCCCGCATCGGGCTCTGTGCTGACAGCTCAGAGCCTGGAGCCTGCTTTGGATTCTGTTGTCTCCTCTCTCTCTGACCCTCCCCTGCTTGCGCCCTGTCTCTCTCTCTTTCAGAAATAAACAAACATTAAAAAAAAAGAGAGAGAATGCTTTTAACTAAAATCACCTTTTGTCATTCTCAGGGTTATTTTTCTCTGGTATTTTTGTTCTGTCTTACTTTTCCTGTACTGACTTAGTCGTGGGTACTATTACTTGATACCACCCACATTTGTTTATATTTACCCACATGTTTATTAACTTCTTCGCCTGTTATTTGTTCATCTCCGAATTTCCTTTGGAGATAAATTTATTTTCTTAAAGCAGACCCTTGAGGAGTGCCTTCATGGTGTCGCCAGCAGCACACGCTCTCAGTTTCTGGGCACCCGAAACGTTTCTAGTCCACTCTTTGTTTTGAATCATAATTTTAGCACGTTGGCACTTTGAAGTCACTGCTGGTTGACACCTCTCAACACTTGGACGTCATTTCGCTGTTCCTGGCTTTCATTTTGCTGTTGTGTAACTGTAAGTCCTGTATAGAGAATTTATTTTAGGGGGCGGAGGAGGGACTGTGTCGAAGATATTTTCATTTTTGATTTTCTGAAGTTTTACTACAAAGTCTGTATCTAGATATGAATTTCTTTTTAATTTATGCTGTTTGGGATGTGTTCTTCCTGAATCTGAGGATTCACATGGTTCATCGTTCTGGAAGGTCTCTCGGCCACGATCCCTGCATATATTCTACCTCCTTCTCTCTAGTTTTGCCTTGTAGAATGCCGGTCAGAAATACAACAAGCCCTCGCTCGCCCCTCCCTGTCCGTTATGCTCTTTTTCTTGTTTCCTATTTTCTGTCTCTCTGTACTGTGTTCTCATTGGTTTCTCTCCACTTCTTCAGTCCATTTCCCTAATTCTTGCTTTATCGGTGTCTAATCTGCTATTTAATTCATCCATTGACTTCATAGATTAGGTCATTCATTTACCAAGTGGCAAACGTCAAGACAATATAAAAACAGATTTAGTGACTAATCTCAGTGCTCCCCCATGCCAGCCTCCCTCCATGGCTGCCACTTTTTCCCTCTTCCTATTTCTTTCTCGGTTTCTTTGGTGTCTTCTCGGAGTTTTTTTTCCCCAACACAAAATAAGTAAATACTAGTATAAATGTTTTCTTATTTTCTTCCTTCCTCACATCAAAGGAAG